ATGCCTGTAATCCTCCAAGTTAAAGAATTTATGGGCAGCAAAAGACTTTTTTTTTCTAAATTGAAGGGCTACCTTGCCTGGATTTCATGAATAGGAGAGACAAGGCTGAGTATTATCTGCCTGTTGGTGACATCGCAGACCATATCTCCAGATAACCTTCCCAAGTGGTTTCCTGTAAATGTCAAACAGCACATGGGATACAGTAGAGGTCTATGTGACACCCCATGACTTAACTGCCAAGGGATAGAACATAATCCCACCACCACCTTCTGGAATCGGCCAGAAGGAGCAGAACTACTGCAGTGTTGTACTCCCAATTTATCCAGAAAGAATCAGTGGTCAATGGTAAGAGGTCCACAAGAATCAGCAAGGTTGCAGTCCCTGTGTCCTCCAGGCAAAGTAACCAAGGGACTTGCATGAAGTGTGACTGAAATGATTCCAGATTATCAGTTTCATTCAAGAGCACCTACTGAAGCAGTTTTCCCAGAAAGCGTGTATTAGCAACAGGCTATAGCTGTTAACATTTTCCTGCTCCATGTTAGTTTTTCTAGGAGTGGTATAATAGCTGCCTCCTTCAAAGCATCTGATACCACTCTCTCTTGGGGAGTTGACAACCCCCTGGGCCCAGCGGGGCATCTTCTGCCTCTTAGATCGAATAATCAATTCAGGGCAAGGCACTAGCACACAGGCAATTGGCTAAACTTGGTGAAGCACCTTGTCAGTATCCTCAGGCTTCAGCAAACAAAATTTATCCAAACAATCGAACTAGTCAGTGCTCTGCGCACCTCTACTAATGGGACAGCATTAGTTGTGGTGTCCAAATCTTAACAGATCTGAGCAACTTTATCCTTGATGTGTCACACAAACTCATTACAGCCTACTAGTGATGGTTCTACCACCTCTCTTTCTGGCTCAGATTGCAGCAGGCTGTGAATCACTTGGAAAAACTCTTCTGAGTGATATTAAGAAGATGCAAGGTGGTAAATAACTTCCTTTGCTACTCACCATCACTGGCCCAGAGTAAGCTAAGTAATGAGCTTCAACCTGTATTTGGTCAGTTGGCATGAGTCTTCATCTTTGTTCTGTCCGTCCTCCCTCTTGCTTCAGATGTATATGAAAGAGACACCAAGGTTTGCTTAGGAGAGGTTTACATCATCTCTCCATTTCACAGAATGATCAGAGCTTCAACAGGTCTCTTGGGTCACTTACAGAATCAATTTAATGTGATAAAGTATCTTCCACATCCATCTTTTGTAAAATGGCTACTGGTAGAATGCACTTCCTGAGGCATTTTGAATTAAGATTGTTCCTCTGCATCAACAGTCCTAAAACAGATCCTTTTTGTAACAAAAGCAGAAGCTACCACATTCTTGTTTTATTCTCCTATTGTGCACTGAAGGCTGTTTTAGCACAGAAGGCACAACTACAGTTAATTATAACCAAACAGAAGGAAATGATTGTGGACAAATCACATTAATTTGTGAAGCAAAAGGGAGAAAAGCACTATACTGGGGAAAGGGGCATAGTTCAGTGATGGGTTTGCATGTGGAAGATCTAGGTTTAACTCTTGTAACCCTGCTGGGTTACTGAGAAAGACTCCTGTCTGAACCCCCAGAAAGAAACTTCCCATCAGAGCAGTATATGCAGTGCTGAACTGGATGAACCCATGATCTGCAGTTTCCCATATTCCCATGTCTTTCACTACACTGTAAATGCAAGTGATATTTTAGGATGGTGGTTAATTTTGGTTCTCCGTGCCAATATTTGGTTGTAGCAATTGAAGTTAACTCTAAAAGTCTTGACTTGAGAGAATGAATTTTCTCATTTCCTGTAAAAAATGTGTGCATTCATGGTGGGTGGGTGCATGTACCACATTTTAGAATTATTCAGATGTATGGCAAAAGATCTTTGAATCTACCTACCTGCATGTTTAGGGATCCCTCAAACAGTCTTCTTAACCCAACTTTTAAAGCAGTACTATACTACATCAGTAGGGTTGTTTTAAAATGTGTGTACTCTATTATCCATGCAAACCAGCAGGAGTTAAGTTGGGATTAACCATGTTCTTTCCTCCTTTCTTATGTGGTATGTGGATTTGGTTCATGAGCACAATTTTAACTTTGATATTCTAAAGTATCTAAAATGAGTGTTGTTATTATCCTGTGTTCAGAGAGCAACCCTCCACAAAGTCAGCCTTTACTCCATGGCTTTTCCTAGCCTTGATTGTGCTTGGGAATGTGATGGTGTTCATATTTCAGAAAACCTGGGAATATTTACCCTAGTGCTTTTCATACATACATTTTGAACTTGGGTTCCTTGCTAAACTCAGCCTATTGTTAGGTACAGAACAGTCTCACATAGCCTTGTGTATACAATCCATCACAGTGGTTTTACATTTCTGTGAACTGGAATACTACCAAACTGGCATTAGAAAAGAACATCTCATACTTCTTCCTAAACTCATACAACTAAGGAAGGAGAGCAGGCAGGAGAGGAGCAACTGTGGTAGGAACTTCTGCATTCTTCTTGTTGCACTGTGGTTTCCATGCTTCTGTACTGAAGCCCTGCTGTTGCAAAAATACGTTTCTGGCTTTTCAAGACCCTATTGTGAATTTGATTTTGTGGGGTTAACCCCAATTTCCATAAAGCTTTAATAAATCATGCTCCTTCCACCTCCCACCCCAGAGCTTTCTAAAACAGGACCTCTTGTAATATCAGCAACAATCATATTCTGTGTAGTCATGTCAGTTTTTCACTCTGCTTTCATCTATTTTGCTTATGTTCACAGGAGAGACAGGTGTCGATATATGGACTCCACTGAAGTGGCGTTCCTAATCCTTTACTTCTTTCTGTAAAGGTTTAACAGCTAAAGGTTGCTAAGGGTTTATTATACTTTACGGATGAACATGACCTAATAGATCTTCTTCCATGAAAAATTCAGCTGCATATATTTATAGAGTTCATTTGGCAGCAAGGCTATGCTGTTTGGCCCATAGAATCACCTGCGATCTCAAGAACTGATCTCCTTTCATGCCATTAGGCACTTCAGACATTTTCTCCCACAGAGTCATGCAAATGACACTTTAACCCCTTTCTTAACCTAGCATGAGCATCAGCAGTTTTACCAACTTAGTGATGCTTAGGAGTAAATTAGCCTGATTGGCTAAGAAAATAAAATAGGATGTGAAACAACATCAGTAGTCTTTAGAATGGAACTATTAACAATTTGAATCTTAATAGTTTTCCCATTTCTTTTCGCTGTGTGTTGACTACAATTACTTCATTTCATTTTGTTATTGCAAGACAATTTTTTTTCACTCTAGCTTTCGTAGAGATATTCTGCATGATCTGCGCTAGCTCCTTGCAGACCTAATATGGGGTTGTTTCCATGCTTGCCTGCATCTTTGCATGGTATGATTCTTTTTCTCTCTCTTCTGTGTAGCACTGGCATTTGCGCAAATGTTTTTCATGTGGATTTCCCATGCAGCATGGTGATGCTTCTGACACCAGTCCCAGTGACCTCACTGAAGGCACAACACAAGCATGATCTATGTGACAGGCCCTTGTGTAGCCCCACAAACCACCAGTGGTGTAGAAGCAGTTTAGTGTTTCAGTTATTGCAGAGGTAATGCAATAAGCAAAACTTTATAGTCACTGTGCTATAGTGTCTCACCCAAAAACTGGCAGTGTGTGTAAGAACTGTAAACCTAATAAACCTAACATAAGCTATAATAATTGACTACCAAGCCAATTGAGGGAGGAGACAACTGCCTCCAGATGGTGGACAACCCCTACTAGAGCACGTTGTCACTTCCAAGGTGGCTTGGTTGCTGATGCTGATCAGAATGGAATGAAAATCCTTGGCATCACAGCCTCCTTGTCCATGGATCCACATCTCTGCCTGGCCAACAGTATGATCTCTAGCGCAGCCAAGCCAGCCGGGAAGGGATGCCAGCAGTACACTCTAAGCAGGAAGGATGCTCTGCTTCCTTTGGGTAACATGGTTACCCAAAGCAGGTCTGGATACTGACGTAAATTGGCTGAGAAGGGAGGTGGGATAGCGAGGGAGCAAAGAGTTTAAAAGGACCCTGGAGAATCAGAGGATGGACAGCAGGAGTATTACATATAGCCTGAAGAGCAATACTTTGCATGTTACTATAGTGCACACATATCTATACTTAAATGTAAAATATACATATTTAAGTTGTGGAAATTAATATATAAAATTCAGCCCATTAAAATCATGTGATCAGTCATCTAAATATTACCTTCTCATTTGTCATCTACATGGCCCATACAAAACAGTTTTGTTTGCTTTTTTTGCGGGGGGGGGGTACTTTTTATTTCCTTGCAAAGTTACTCTTTGACTTTAGTTGAATCTAAAAGTCGCCTAGACATACTAAACAGTGACACTGGCTCTCAACTTACCTCAAAAAGTGTGAGGATAAAAGGGAGAGGAACATAATGGAAGCCATCTTGGGCTCTTTGAAGGAATGGTGGGATATTAATGTAGCTAACAAATCCATCCATCCATCCTTTTGCTGTTGACAAATTCTCAGTAAATGAGAAGCAAGTTCATTTCCATTTGTTCAGGAGTTATCATGTGCTTGTAGCATTTCTTCATTCTGACAGTTATCACGGGAAACGCTTTTGAGCCCTTTGGACACTGTCCACCTGCCTTATAGCACTGATTTTTTTTGCTGGGGGTGGGAGGGGGGCAGTAAAGAGGGACAAAGAGGTCGCTGCAACTTTCTTGCTGTGACATGCTTATTCCTCTGTGCTAGGTAAAGTCAGAGTGTGGATGGGTCAGTGCATTCACAGGCAGAAGAATTCCTGCAGCAGCTGTCTGTAAATAGACTTCTAGATATAGTCATCGAGAACATTTTTAAGTAATTTGAAATAGAAACTGGCATTAAATAGTGCTTATTTGCTGTTCTTGTATCAGGAGGGTAGAAATGTTCCTTGCCTCATGTTGTCTTGTTTCCTGTCTTAATTTTCAGATACTGGCTTGGGAGATTCTGTGTGTTCCAGCCCCAGTATATCTAGTACCACAAGTCCTAAACTGGACCCTCCTCCTTCCCCTCATGCAAACAGAAAAAAACACCGCAGGAAGAAAAGCACTAGCAATTTTAAGGCTGATGGTATATCAGGCACTGCCGAAGGTATCAATTTTTTATTGTCTTGGACCAAACTCCGTCAACATGTACCAAATTACCCTCTGTAGTTTTCACATAGGCCTGTGTTTGGTTTTGAGTATGAATTTTTGTTCCTTTGCTGCTTGCTTGTTATTAGATCTTGGCACAGTTAAAAGTTACCATTTTTAGAACTACTTTCTAAATATATTTGATTGCTTTCGCCTGCAAAAGCTCTGACTGCAGACTTAATGTCTACATAATACCTCTTGAATGAAGTAAATAGAGCCAATGTGATGTGGTGGCTAGAGTGTGGGGCTTCACTGGATGGTTTGGGGCCAGAAGCTGACTCTCACCCTAAACTACCTCACAGGTAGGTTAGTGAAGGCAAAACTGAGAGGGGGTAGATGATGTACATCATCCTGGGATCCATGGTGCAACTGAAAGCAGGATTGTGCTAGTGACAAAAACCACTTAGTCTTCTCCTATACAATAAGTTTAGTTTCAGTATTCTCCTGTGAATTTTATTTATGCCACTGCATACTGAAGATAGCCTACAAATCAGTCAGTTAAAAGCCTGGATGTTTATTTTTATGAAGTGAATAGGAACAGATACCTAATGTAAGTTGACCACTGTTTTCCCTTTTGAGATGAGGGTACAACTGTTAGTATTGCCATGATTGATGGAACTTAGCTCATGGATAGCAGCAAATGAATTAAGAAAAGCTCCAGCAGCAAACTCAGAGTGATTTGAAGTATTTCTGGAAAAGCAGGTCTTACCATTTCTCCTTTAAATACTAATTAAAAGTATATTTTATTAAAGGAGGTTTTTCATAGTCTCAGTGGAGAAAGTCCTGCACATTATGGTTGTCTTGGGCTCCTTTACTGAGGGGACTCAAAGAACAACCATATACAAAGTAGACTATGAAACTTAGTTTGGAAAATGAGGAGGCTATTGTATAGGCATTCTCCAAGATTTTGAAATATGAAAGACTTAAAGGCAAGATTGAGAATCGATTGCAATTGGACCTGAAGGCAAGATAATTGATATAACATCAGTTGAACATGTTCTTTCTCCTGTGATGAAATGGAATTGCACTGCAGAAAATAAAATTAAACAGGAAACCTGTCATTGCACACATCACATCTTTTTATTTTCTACATGTCCCTAAACAACTTGAGATGAACACACTACCAACATTGGTTCAGTTTAATATATTTTCTTTCTCAGTGTTAGTCCTTCTCTTTTGAAAGTCAGGTCCTTTTTTCATCTGTTGCCTTATTCTGCATCTTCTAACTGATGGACTCTTCTAAAAACAGACAATTAAAACTCAGAAGTCCCCAATCCTTTTGAGTTGGAGGGCTCATACGAAATGTATGAGAGTGTCATGGGTGCTCTTTCAAAATGCCTGGCATGAAAGACGTGCCTGTTCATACAGTTGCTACCACAGTGAGCATAGCAGGGCACGAAACATTCATTCTCAGAAGGCTTTTAGTGGCACTAAAAGAAAAGTAGCATTCCCACAAACTAAAGCACAGGACAAAAGCACTCCTTTGAATCCAAATAAAGAAGAGCTGGAGCAGCAGTACTTTCCTTTTATTTTTTATTCATTTCATTTCTTTGCCAGCCCACAACCAAAGCTCTCTGGACAGGGTGATGTCTCTGCTTTTTAGTATGCGGTCTAGATTTGCCTTAGCTTTCCTCCCAAGAAGCAAGCGTCTTTTAATTTCTTGGCTGCAGTCCCCATCTGTGGTGATCTTGGAGCCCAGGAAAATAAAATCTGTCACTACCTCCATTTCTCCCCCATCTATTTGCCAGGAAGTGATAGGATTGGATGCTTGAGTTCAAACAATGTTGAGTTTCAAGCCAACTGTTGTGCTCTTCTCTATCACCTGCATCAAGAGGCTCTTTAGTTCCTCTTCACTTTTTGCCATTAGAGGGGTATCGTCTGCATATCTGAGGTTTTTGATATTTCTCCCGGCAATCTTAATTCCAACTTGTGATTCATCAAGCCTGGCCTTTCGCATGATGTGCTCTGCATATAAGTTAAATAGGCAGGGTAACAATATACAGCCTTACCATACTCCTTTCCCAATTTTGAACCAATCAGTAGTTCCATGTCCAGTTCTCAGTGTTGCTTCTTGACCCGCATACAGGTTTCTCAAGAGACAAATAAGTTGGTCTGGTACTCCCATCTCTTGAAGAACTTGCCACAATTTGTTGTGATCCACACAATCAAAGGCTTTAGCATAGTCAATGAAGCAGAAGTAGATGTTTTTCTTGAATTCCCTAGCTTTCTTGGTGATCCAGCATATCTCTAGTTCCTCTGCCTTTGCGAAACCCTTCCTGTACTTCTGGTAGTTCTCGGTCCACATACTGCTGGAGCCTAATTTAGGTCATACCTGAGTAGCCTAGTGCTTTTCCCTACTTTCTGCATTTTAAGCCTAAATTCTGCAACCAGAAGCTCATGGTCTGAGCCACAGTCAGTTCCTGGTCTTGTTTTTACTGACTGTATAGAGCTTCTTCATCTTTGGCTGCAGAGCACATAGTCAATCTGATTTCTGTGTTGATCATCTGGTGATGTCCATGTGTAGAGTCGTCTCTTGGGTTGTTGGAAAAGAGTGTTTGCTATGACCAGTGTGTTGTCTTGACAAAATTCTGCCAGCCTTTGCCCTGCTTCACCCTGATCAACTTCAGCCTCTTCAGCATCAGTGGTTGGGGCATAGACTTGGACTACTGTGATGTTGAATGGTGGTTTGCCTTGGATTCACACTGAGATCATTCTGTCATTTTGGAGATAGTATCCCAGTATTTTGTCCTACTCTTTTATTGTCTATGAAGGCTACTCCTTTTCTTCTGAGTGATTCTTGCCCGCAGTAGTATACCTGATGGTCATCTGAATTAAATTCACCCATTCCTGTCCATTTTAGTTCATTGATTCCCAAGATGTCAGTGTTCAGCCTTGTCATCTCATGTTTGGCCATGTCCAGCATACCTTGATTGATAGATCTTACATTCCAGGTTCCTGTGCAATATTGTTCTTTATAGCATCAGACTTTCCTTTCACCACCAGAGACATCCACAACTGAGTGTCCTTTCGGCTTTGACCCAGTCGCTTCATTCTTTCTGGCGCTACTAGTACTAGCCCTCTGCTCTTCCCCAGCAGCACACTGGACAACTTCCAACCTGAGGGGCTCATCTTCCGGCGTCATATCTCTTTCCATGGGATTTTCATGGCAAGGATACTGGAGTGGGTTGCTATTTCCTTCTCCAGTGGATCACCTTTTTTTCAGAACTATCTGCTATTACCTGACAGTCTTGGATGTCCCTGCACAGCATAACTCATAGCTTCATTGCACTACAGAAGCCCCTTTGCAACAGCAAGGCAGTGATCCATGAAGGGGTACATTGGATTTCAAAGAGTATAGTGGATTGTGGTATTGTTTGCCCTTTTCCTTAATAGTTCCTAGGGTTGTTTTCTTATGTGAAATACATCAAGCAAGATTTCATTATCTGATGATCTTTCTGCTCAGTGCTATCTGCTTGTTGTATTTTCTTAGTGTTAACAAGATTTAATCTAGGCCAATAAGAGTCACTGAATCTCTGTAAATATCACAATACTAGATTCTTTTGTTGGCTATGCAGTTATCCAGATAGTACATTTGGTACATTTTAGGTATAGCAGTGACCTCTACCCTTGCAATAACAAGAAGTCCTACCAGCAGCACTCTTATCTCCACTTTTCCCCAAAATATCCTGTTCTAATATTTTATGCCCTGGTTTATAACATGTTATAAATTATATAACGTATTATATTGAAAGAACTGGACATGTTTAGCTTTACGAAGGGAAGACTGAGGGAAGATATGATAGCACTTGTCAAATACTGTCACACTGAGAAGGCTGCCATACTGAGGAGGGCCAGAGTCTCTTCTCAATCATCCCAAAGTAAACAACATCGAATAATGGGCTGAAGTTATGGGGAGCCAGATTCAGGGTGGAAATCAGGAGAGTTTCAGTAAGGCAATGGAACCTGTGGCCTAGGGAGGTCATGTGCTCTCCCACAGTGGAGGCATTCAAGAGGTAGCTGGACAGCCATCTCTCAGGGATGCCTTAACTAGAGTTCTGCACTGAGCAGGGGGTTGGACTCAATGGTCTTGCTTGCTTGCTTGCTTGCTTGCTTGCTTGTTTTTGCTAGTACATTCAGTGGACTCATTTGCATGTCATACAATACCTCAAGAATCATAGAATAATAGAGTTGCAAGGGGCCAGAGGGTCCAACCCCCTGCTTAGTGCAGGTCACTGAGTTGAACCATTCCCCTCAGATGGCTGTCCATTTGCATCTTGAATGCCTCTAGTGTGGGAGCGTCCACCACCTCCCTAGGTCATTGATTCCATGGTTGTACTGCTCCAAGAGTCAAGAAGTTCTTCCTGATCTCTAGCCAGATTCTGGTTTCTTGTAACTTGAGCCCATTATTCCATTCCCTGCATTCTGGGATGATGAAGATGGAGCCTTTCAGGTACATGGAGAGTGCTATCATATTTTCCTTCAGTCCTCTCTTCTTGAGGCTAAACATACCCAGTTCTTTCAGTGTAATGATCAGCTTCTCCATAGCTTATGATGGCTTGTTTCCAATTTAGCCTGTCCACACACTCACTGCACATTCCCAGGGGCCTTTGTAGTGCAACTCTTCTATATCCCAGCTGAGATGATTTTTTCCCTTGCAACAGAGACTTCCTCTTGCCATGAGAAGGACCTGCATTGACATGTGTGTGCCACTTCTTCAGGGTGGAGGCTTACCTTTCTTAGTTGGGGGTTTTAGTTTGTTTTCTTTAGCACTTGGAAAAGCTTCTTGGCTGCTCTTTGCAATTCATGCCTCTTCCTAACACTGGAACCATGGCAATTACACAGGTGGATTTGATGCTTGGCTCCGCCTGTTTTTATTCTGAAATCACCCCATGGGAAACGGTTAAGCGGTGGGGGGTGGGGGGAGTGTGGCCTTCTTGTGAAAAACCACCCACAATGGAA